GGAAAGAGGACAGTGTTCACTACTCCATCATCTGGGTAAGGAAATTTTTGGTTCAAGTATTACAAATTATACTACGTATTTTAAAAAATCTCTCTGGGCTCAATGGGCTCGTATTCGCCTTTCCATGCTGACATACATTACATCTTATGTAGGGAGCAGGGACAATGGGCGCAATGTGACAATTGCTCCAAATGGCGTAGGCTGCCTGTGCACGATCTCCTACCCTCAAATTGGACATGTTCAGATAATATTTGGGACTCAAACAGGTCCATACCTTTCTGACCTTAACCTTTAACACCGACTCCCTCTTAAAAGACTGCGCTGTTTCAAAACTTTTTTTGTCCCCAAAAAACATTCTATTTCGAATTTCCAATCAAAGAAGCTAATTTCCATTTAATTCACTGTAAAACTTCCCAACAAATTTTCCAAAAAGTTTAAGTAAGTTACGCTTAGGTAAAAGAAACAAATATAAAAATCATCGTAGAATTGGTACTTTACCAAAATTGTATCTAGTTGAAAAAAGACATTTTTTTTGGATGGATGGAGTAATAAATATGTTAAGGCTTTTTTATATAGGTTTATATCTCCTTCGTCTCACTGTATGAACATGTGCTCCAGATGTTCGTGTTCTTCCTCAAGTGAGATGAACCAAAAAGAACTTGATCCATTCCTTAGAGATAGCAACAAGGGTATGAATTACATACAATGCATTGTGATCTCAAATTATTCATTATGTTTATGTATCACTCCCTACCCTCTCCTCCCCACTAATTGGTTTCCCACACCACATTCCATAAGAATGAGTGAAATTTAATGCTTGTTAGAATTACCCCTCCCCAATTTTTTTCATCGTAGAAGAAACCAAGAGGCAAAGCAACGGTTGTGGTGAGCCATCAGGCCTAGATGCCTTGGCCAGTATCGCATCTTTAAGAGACAGCAGCAGCAACGGCAACAACTTGGGTGGGACAGAGGAACCACCTTGTACCACGAAACATCCTCGGCACCGCCCCGGCTGCACCTGCATTGTGTGCATTCAGCCTCCGAGTGGGAAGGGCAAACATGACCCCTCGTGCAAGTGTAACGTGTGCTTGACCGTGAGACGCAGGTTCAAAACTCTCATGCAGCGTAAGAAGAAGAAACCAACAGAACGTGGGGCAGAGACTGCGCAGGTGAAGGATGGGACTCTTGGTCGTGTTTCTGTTGACGAACCGTGTTTGGTAGGACAGATGAACTGTCCAGAGAACGGTGATGCTCCGTATCCAAACTGGGATCGCAGTACTACAAGCAAGGGACAGTTGGACTTGAACTGCCACCCTAATGAGAATAAGGCAGGCAGTTGAAGGGTAACCAACCCACAAACACACTCTTTCTGTCCTTTTTTTTTGTACAAAACCCTTAGGAGTTGATCTTAAGATTACCCTACATTCCGGCCACCATATATTCTTTGGTGCTGTTGGGTTTCTGAGTCTTATATATATCTAAAAGTTCATAAAAGTGTACATTCTTTAGATTGCAGCATTGTATTGTGTGATTGGGAAGTTGCCAAAGATGAGGGGGGGGGGG